GAGATATTGGTTTAAGGAAAATATGATCAATGAATTTTATAAAAAGCATTGGTAAGATGAAATACAGTACAATGTAGTATACAGTACAGCTTTATATTGAAATGTAATTACAGTGATTCACAAAAGAGTTGATACACTTATGACTTTCAATGAAATAAGACTATCCATTAATTAAAATGAATGTTTCAGAATGTATATTTAATGATAAAAAATGTATTCTAATCTTTACAAAACTGAAATATTTCAAATGACAATATGAAATATTTTAAAAACAAAGGAAAAGTTTATTTTTAAGGAATCAATCATCAAAAAGTGACAGAAACTTTATCCCACAAAAGTCATCATACACTTTTAAAGAAAAAACACAAAAATTAGATTTACTAATAGACATTATAGTAAATCTAATTTTTTGTTTAATTACCATTTAGTGGAGTTTCCTTTAGCATCAACAATAGCTTTTAAAGGTTGAAAATAGGGGTAACTAGTTTTTTTTTTGTCAGGTGAAATTCGTGCAGAATATTTTTTTTAAAAATTTTTACGGAAACTTTTACAACACTCATTTACAAATTTATGAATTTTTCCACAAAATTTATAATTTTAGTCTCAGATATGAAGTCCTTCTTTTAAGCATTTTATCACATATTGCACAGTTCAATTGAATACAGTAAACTAATTTAACATATTCATTACTGATTTACCTCTTATGAAGACAAATAATCAAATTTGGTCAATTTTATTANTTTATGTATGCATATATATTTGATACATTAATTATTGTTAAAAATAGAAAAAGTTTTTTTAAAAAAAAGTATTAGTTTTTTTAGTTTTAAATAAATTAAAATCGTTAAAAGTATTTGATTTTCTGCAAATATGTTATTAAGTTTACTGATGAAACTATTTAGTACTTCATAATGCTTAGATTAAAATCATTATATTTGCAACTGACATGACTAAATATGCGTGCGGCCCTTTGTTATCTACCTGCCGTGCAAGTGGTCCTTCACTTAAAAAGGTTGGACACCCCTACCTTATTTTCCTGTTAAAGAAAAAAAAATTTGTGAAGTAAAATTTCTTTATATGTAACCTAACCTTTATAAGGGTAAGCTAAGTAAGCAAGATTCAAGCTAGAGTACATCATGAATGTGCAAAAATAGTGTTTTATCCCTGTTAGGATGCAAGGTATGTTATTTATAAGTGTTTAACCCTGTTCATAATTGATAAATTTGATTGTTTTTATTGATAAATTTCAGAAATGCTTCCAACAAATTTAAAAGGAAATTCTCAGGCAGGACTTTTAGCTTTCTACTTTACATTGTAGCATTTGATCAATGTAAGAAAAAAATGCATGCTAGACATTAACATGTTAATATTATTTTCTCAGTTTTTGAAATTACTTACTACTAATTATTTTATGCCATTCTAAAATCGCTTAAGGAAAATACTGCATATATATATATATATATTACCTGACACCCCTTAAAAAGTAAAAAGTGCATCCACCACCCTCCAGGATATCCCAGTCCATCCCTGCTTCCATAATTCTATAAACAAACATTGAAGGAAAACTTATCTTTAAAGACTCACTAAATTTTTAATATTGTCCATTACAATGTGTATTTTTATTACAAATCCCAAAAGCAATAGCTACCTCTTGTTTAATTGACTAAATTATCTTGTATTCTTAAGGTTCAGTAGTGTTTTGCTCATAATTAGCAAAATAATTCATTAATACTGAAATTAAATTACATAATTCACTATTATTTGTGAAAATGAAATTTTAAAATTGTACTAAAATATCGATGACTTTTAAAAAAAAAATCATTTTTATTGTTTCTAATAAGATGCAAAAAGAAAAAGTACTTAAACAAATTGTAGACGAATTTTAAACTTACATTTATGAAAAACTCATGTATTTTAAATAAAATAGTAATTTTTTTTAAAAAAAAATACATATGAAATCTAGTTTTAGTTTTATCACTTATATAAAATGTATAGAATTAATAGACCCTCCCTATGAATAAAAAGCGCACTCATTCAACACCATAAAAATTTATCAAAATATGTAATAACGGAATTTGATTCTCAACAATTTTTAAATTATTTTATGTGTATATTTCAGAAAATAATTCTCTCTCATTATCAGAATAAGAGAAAAACTTATAGTTTATAAAAATAATTAAAGGCAAGCTAATAGACAATCTCTAAGCTTATTTTTTTTTTTTAAAAAAAAGTAATTAATTGATAACCACTTGAAAGATTTGTATTATGTCCAAAATACTATACTGATATTCTGAAGTGTTGTGTTTTTAAAATTGAAACAGATATGTTTCAATTAGTGATCAGTTTTCAAATTCTAATATGCTTCACAAAATTTTTATGAAAGGTCCTACTGGTACCAGTCTTTAAAAGTTTGCATATGTTAAAGTAGTTAGAATACAAAAGGGAAAACAAAATATATTGATCTAACTTCCAATAAAAATTATGAAAACAAATGTACATTTAAGCTTTGAAAAAAAATTGTTTTTTTTTTTAGTTTTTTTTAAAGCAAAATTATCTATTTGATGCAAAACAAATTAACAGTAATAAATTTGTTCTTTCATTTTAAATTTTTGTTCTCTNTAATAAATTTGTTCTTTCATTTTAAAATTTTGTTCTCTTATTGTTAAACAATAGCATTCTTATTCCAATATCGTTTGAAATCTGACAAAATAGAAACAACATATGTAATTATATTATGAAAATTAAAACATATTCAAGTTCACATAAACTGTTCAAGCAGAATGAGCAAAAAAAAATGGAATTTTCTGATTGGTTAAGCATTACCCATTGTTTTAAATTTAACTTTTGATAATTCAATTTTTCAAATATTTTAGAGATTGTCATCTTTAAAATAGTGATATTTGTTAGCCTATAGTAAGGCTCCTATACTATCAGAGCTGACCTATCAAGCAATATTGGAGCAAACAAGTTCGCAAGTTAACATTATGTAAGTATTGTGCTTATGTTAGCTCTTTGCTCCGAAAATAGATGATGAGTCGGCCTGTCTAATTCAGGGACTCTAGCCTAATAGGTTTAATAGTTTAAAAAAAAAAAAAATTATTGCTCTCTCGCTAGTACATTAATATTTAATTATTTTTTTAATTGCTTTGTCAGATAAATTCAATGAACATTAATGGTAGCATTTTATTTATTTTTTATTTTACAACTTGATAACTATTCTCATTTTATTGTTTCTTGATATTAGTTAAGTTTCTTTTTTTAAGGTAGAAAAAACACCATTACATTTAAATACAAATTTATGTTAAATTTTATCTCCAAGGCCTGTAAACAGTTCTTTCACGGTTTGAGTGCTGTGTGGAGCATTGGATAAAGCTTTAGTTTCTGATAAAAAGCCGGCAAATGGTTAAAATTTTATTATTAAATTTTTATCAAAAATTAGTCTTGCTAGAAGCTGGAAAAATTGCTAGCTGGTAATAAAACTCAAAAAACATAAGATATTGGGACTCTTGAGAAATATGTTTTATTAAAAAGTTTTTTACTTCTGAAGGTTATATTTTTGTTAAAATGTGTATTTTTATGTATCTGTCATTCATTATCTTATGTTTCTCGGCAGGTGAGCGGCACTGATTCGCTTCCAGCATTTGAATACCAGCCCTTCATCTTCTCTTCTGTCTTCTACCAGTTCCTCTTGTAAGTCAACATCTTCCTCTGTATCCACACCTCCAGCCTGAGTCAGAAGTAAGTTATTTATTTGTCTGTTTTTTTATTCTGAAGGACTTTTCTCATTCTAATTTAGAAAAAAATTTTAAACAATTACCTCGCGAATTTTTGGTGGTGGGCCAAGAATTACCTATTCAGTATTAGACTAAATTAAAGAGCACTTTTACACTAAATTAATTCTTGCATTCTATAAGATATTAATTTTAATAGCGGAGAAAAGCAACCACTTTCTTTTTTGAAGTAACAAACTTTTTTTATTCTTTATTGTTTTATGATGCATTTTCAGCTAATTTTTCCATTAAACTTTAATTTTAGGATTAAAGACTAACTTTTTTTAATTATTTAGATTTTAACTAGTTGTATAGTACTAATCTGCCTTACATATAGTGGACAAAATGAGAAAGAACCTTAAGAAAGGATAGCTTTTGATTTAATGTGCTCGGATCTTCATAAAAATTTATTTCTTAAAAATTTAATGACAAAACGATACAGAAAATTGTTTTTAAAAAATTCATGAGTTTTTGCAAAATACGTAAAAAGAGTTATAAAACATGGGCCTCTGCAACTTTTGAAGGCTCCCCTGAATAAACTATTGGAACCTTAATTTTTTTAGGTGTTGAGTTTAATAAAAAAAATAGTTTATTTGATTTGCTTAATGATTAGTTTGCAATAATTAAATCATCCTAAACTATTTTTAGTGATATTAAGAATTTTAGTTGTAATATTGTTAAGTAATATTGAATATCATTTATATATTTTAGAGTTTAGGTCGTTAAACGTGAAAAGAATTTATAAAAAAAATCTGATTGAAAGAAAGTTTATAATATTTATTATATATATCTTTTCAGAAAATATGATTTTGATGTACCCTGCTAAAATTCTCTGATGTTTTGCTCTGGCCGCCACATCCCTAAACACGAAATTACTTGCAGTGCAAGTTAATTGTTTATTTGCTAAAACTACTTTGGCAGAAAGACCTTAACTAGTAATTTTGTTAATTTAAAATTAAAGTTCTTTTTTTAAGTTATAATCAATCTTAGCATTCATATATCATAAAAAAATAGTTAGCTTCATTTAGGCTAATTAGTTTGTATTTATTAAATAATATTAACTTTTTTATTATTACTGGTATTAAGAATTTTGGTCACAGTTTTATTGTTAAATGATAATAAGTATTTATACATTTTATTAAAATTTGATCTTAAAACGTGAAAGGAGTTTTAAAAAAAATCTGATTGAAATAAGAAATTGTAATCTTAAATCTGTATTTTTTTTAAGTAAAAAATGTTATGATTTTAGCATTGATAAAATTTTTTGCCCTTGACTACTAAAACCCTAAGCATTTTGTTGTGGTGTATTTTTTTTCAGCAAATTATTTGTTTTCTAAAAGTTACTAATACAGAAAAGCCCTAACTTATTGTTACTTTGTATAACCGAAGAACTTAACTGATAGTTAATGTTTTCTTAGAATTAGGAAGGAACTTCAAAGACCTATTTTTTTCAAAATAGATTCAAATAAATGTAAAATTCACCTCATTGATTAATTATTTTTATTTTTTAAACTCTTAAGAAAGCATTTTTGTTCGTTATTTATTTCATTTGATTACCTGATTATACAAAATATTTTTAGACTCCAAAATTTTATTTTTTGAGTGATCAAAATGCAAGTAAATTTATTAAAATTGACTTTCTTACTTTTTATTCAAAATGAACATTATGAGACTTATTTAAGAAATTTAAAATTTCTTGTTTCACTCAACATGAAACCAATGAACAGTGCGATAAATATTAATGCCTGAAGTTCAGTCAGTAGCAGTAATACATAATTATTTAATTTAAAATAAAAAATAATTCTTACGAATTTAGGAAGATCTGTTTCTTGGAATTTTAACAAAAGTGCAAAAATACTAATCATGAATGAGTGAATATTACTTTTAAGATGATGCAGAGCAATATAACCTCTTTCAATTAAATATAAATTTAGACCAAAATTTGTTTTTATAAAATTTTAAGCTTTGTGATTTTTTTTAAATGAGCTAGATTCAGCACCCTCAATTCTAAACGAATACGTTTTTCAACAATATTGCTATTATTACTTAAGTCAAAAATCATTTTATAATTTTTTTTTATATTTGTCTCCATCTGGTATATACCATCTATGTCATTAGCTGCTGATTTCACTAATTTATAATAAGCAAAAATGTTTCAAGTATGTTCTTTTTAAGATTTTTGTACAGGAAATAACTCATAGTCAAAATGTAGTTATTCAGTGATATATTCATGATAGTTATTCAGAGAAAGTATGTTAATGTATGTGACTTAAAATATTGTCTACATTAATTAATCAGCATATTTGAGGTCACCCCCTCGAGCCATTAAGATCGAGTCCTAGAAGGTGAAGATCCGATCATATTAAATCAAAAACTATTCAGGATCGTTCCTTTTTATTTTGTCCCCCATACATAAGGCAACTTAATTAAAATCTATAATGTAAAAATTGACTAAAAATGTGTCATAAAACAATAAAGAATATAAAAAGTTTGTTACTTCAAAAAATATAGAATTTATCCAGTACTGATTCATTGAATATTTTCTTTTTATTCACCTTGTATGAAAATAGTTATTCAGCTAGCATACATATTGCAATGTGTGATTTTTCGTTCCTAAATGTTTTACATATTTGCTACAGGTACAGTTTTCCATTTTTTATAAAGGCAAACTTTGGGAAATTATAAATGTTCATAAAAGATTACATTTATTTTAAAGCTAAGAAGATCAAATTTTATAAATTTGTCAAAAACTGTCTTTATCATTCTTTGTCATAAGTCATGTATAATGTTGAAAAATATAGTTTTTGTGAGTTGTTTTAAAGTTAATAATGATGTGCCCCTAAAAAATCAGAAAAAAATAAAATTTTGTAAATTTTTTTCTTATAAATGTGAACAAAGTCTGAATTTATTTCAATTTTTCAGATTTAGAATTATTATTTTATTTTTACTTAGTATTTCAATGTCTTAATTCGCAAATAATGTTTAGGTCGTAACATACTGTTAAAATTAGACATTTGAAAAACTTAAAATAGGAAAATTTAGGCATAAATAATTTGAAAACAAACAATTTAGTATCATGGATGATAATTATTGCGAAAAAGTGGTAATGATGGATTCATGTTAGAAATTAACATCTTAAATATACTAAGGAATAAAGACAAAAAAAATGCCAAAATGTATTTTAAGTTTAACATTGAAACATGCATGTTTTTTTACACATGCATGTTTTTTTACACATGCATCCTTTACTGATATATTTTACTTAAAAACCCTGAAGGTATTTGCTCGATAAAATGTTGACTATGATGCACAGAACAAACCATTAGAAATTAATTTCCTATGTGAAGTTTTTACCCTATCTGCTAGGTATGTCTTTTTTTTCCCCTTACTTTGCATTTCATACTCTCTTTTTTCATGGATCAATGTAAATTTTTTATGATCTTGCAAAAATATATATACTTTATTTTCATAGAAGTATATGATAAAGTAACTCTCTTTGGTAACTTGGCACTGAAGCAATTTTCTTTCATTTTAAATTTGATCAAGTAATGCTTCGTAAAATAAAAACATGCGCAGCAGTTAAAATGCCTCTTGGCATACTTTTTTTTTGTTAGTCCAAGGCAAGGAATTTAGTTTTGTTACATTAACAGTGTTTTTTAAAGCTCTTTCACGAAGAAGATTAAAAAGTTGACCACCGCCTTACAATCTAAGAGAATTTTTATTTAAAGAATGGATAGAGCATGAAAGACCTTTTAGTATTTATATTTATCCTGAGAAAAAGAATGTAGTATGCAGCTCTGTACAGTGCATGCAAATGACGAATAAATACAAACAGAAATTAGATTAAAATACATACTTCCTTCTGTGTCTTCTGTTAACAGGACATTAAATAGCCCAATTCTACCAATTCTAGAAAAACCGTTCCCAATTATTTTTATTTTTTTTGGGCTATGGAGGCTTAAATGATTAAATAGTCCGGCAATAATTATGGTAAAAAACTTTATTTTTATTTTAAACTTTTAATATTTAAAAGGAGAAATAAATTTTTTTTATCGTTTTATATTTAATAATCTTAATTTAGGTTTTACTCGTATGTTTGACAGTTGAATATACACTGTCTTAGAAATGAATCTAGTCTAATTGAAAAAATTTTTTTAATATTGCTATTCAAAACTGTTTTTAAATGTTGAAAATAGTTATTAGGGAAACATATTTCTTTATTAAAAAATTCAGTTATTTTATTTTGATTTGAAAAGCGCAATGTTAAATACTATTGCAAATTCTTATAAATGCATGTTTTTTTCATACATTTTAAAATTGTCGTTAGAAAAATTATATATTTTTTTAAATTTTCATTTCTCATTTTTTGGCATAATACTTTAAATATAATTACAGATTTCAAAAACTGTTAAAAAAATCTCAACTGTCAGAACTCTTCCACGGAACCCTAGGGTTCTGTGGAACGATAATTGGGAACCGTTTTTCTAGAGTGTGATCCATGTATATATATTTGAATTCACAAACTATTTTTAATGTATTTCAAGATATTTTAATTGAACTCCAGCCATCTGAATCCATAAATTGTATCATTAAGAATGAGCCATAATTACGTTATAAAATAATATTAATTAATTAAAATAACTTACATCGTGAATCGAAACAAAGTTATAATATCTCACCTTAATTCATAATAGCCATCGGTGTACAAGAAAATACTCGTTTTTTTATTTTATTTATTTATTTATTTCAAATGGTTAACTGTGAACAATTTTGGTTACGGACAACTTGAGTTGAGATCCTAAAGCATTTGTACTCAGTTAAAAGTTTTCATAGTACTGCCCTGATATCTTGTGTTCTGTCATTCTAGACTTGTTCTCTGTCAGTTTACATAAAGGAAAGTCACGGATTTCAATATTGAACAAAATTAGTCATGAAATGTCATGATTTTAACTATTTAAAAGAAGAAAAAATCATGGAAAGTTCATAGATTCAGGTGGCCAAAAAATCATATTTTTTAAAACGGAATCCCTCCCCCACTTGCAGTGCAAGTTAATTGTNAATCCCCCCCCCCAATTTCACAGAGTTCTTATGTTCTGAATTAGTAACAAAATACCCACTCACAGCCAGATTTCATTATGATATCAAATGTTTTTTTTCCCTTTCCTGTTCTTTATTAAATTATGGTGTTCTTTCAAAAAAAATGAAAGAAAGAACAACATTTCTAGAAGGAATTATCTTTTAAACTCCAGTGATTTCCGAATTTTTTTATTTATTTATTATTTTTATTTTATGCTTTTAAAAAGAAATAAAGCAGCTTTAAATAACTACGATCTTTAAATAACTAATATCTGATTGTATTTAGTTAATTGCTTTTGTATTTTTTTCAGCTATGTTATTGCTTCAACTTTCTTTACTCTGTTTTTTTAAGTTTAAAATCAATAAATATGAAAATGCAGAGTATAACTGTTTGGGAGATCCTTTGATAGACACTTTAATGATTTTTAATTAATTTTTGGTTCGCAAGAGAACTTCCTTGATATTAATACGGAGTCATATGCGTGTTTTTGATACATGATTAATTATATTTATTTATAAATGATAGCAAATGGTTAAAAAATGAGCAACAATATGGTTTATGCAAAGTGTGTTTACGTTAAATGAAGAGCAGTGCTGAAAAGGTGTTAATATTTTTATTTAGGAAGTTTTTAATAAAAGTGTGAATATTTACTATTGGCTCTATGAGATTATACAATGTACAAAAATATTTTGATAGTTAAGTGTCATTGTACTAAAAAGAAAAAAATTAAAAAGCATTGAATTTGATATATTTTTGTATCTGTATATATGCTTGAATAGTCACTTCAATTGAAAAGAGCTTAAGGGTTTTTAACTATAATTTCTTTTTAATAAAAAATAATTAGGAAGGAATAAAATTATTACTTGAGAGCGGTTATAAATTAAATATGTTTCGACTCCTGCGCAGTGATACTGAGATTTTTTGATTCAGGTATTGTTACGGAAATCTACCTATTAAATTTTAGACCGATTAAAATTTATTTTAAAACGATTTAAGTTTTAAGGAAATATTCAATGTTGATAGTTTTAAATTTAGTGTTTTCAATGTAAAGTTTTAAATTTTTCTCTCTTATAATTTTAGCTTTGTCTGAGTCTGCTGGATAATGCAAATGGAAAATGACATTCTGGTAGAATACGAGGGCGCGTAAGTTCAACCCTGACAGAAAACAAAGCAACTGATGTGTATATGCTGTTAGATTCTCTTTAAATCTGCCGTTGCTGAAAGTCCTCTTGTTGTTGTGCAGAAGTTTGAAGAAAGGCGTATCTCTGTGTGATTTATCCCTGCTGTGTGTTTGTGTGGTTACTGTTGCTGACAATTTTATAAAATCTTTCAGTAAAGCAAAGATTCTCTGAAATATGAACAAGAAATTGGAAGTGAAGGGAAAAGAAATGCATGAAATAAATGACTGTAAAGTTTTTGGAATTCTTTTTATTTAAAAATAATAATTAAAATGATAACGCATAGTCCAACTGTTGCTTTTTGCAATAAAAATTATTTCATTTAATGACAAATATGTATTCTTAAGGATTATATGTTTATATTAAACAATGACGGTAAGAATATATTGCTTTTATAGTTGAGTGAAGTTTATATTGTGTTTTGTTTTAAAATAAAATAATTAAATTGTGAAATAATGTTTGTCATTATTTGGTTTGATTAATTTTTTTTATTCTTAACTACTGTATTGGGTAATTTATACTGCAACTTTATAATAAATGTTCAAAATTTTAGAAAATGGGGTAGGCAGATATGTGTTCATTCATAAAACTTAATAAGATATAATGTTGGAAATTTTTTTATAGTCATGATAGTAATGTTTAAGTACGTATTTTGAAATTAGATGAAGTTAAAATTCGGTATCTTTAAAATTTGCAACATTTTGGAAACAATTTTATTTTAACATCATTGTTAAACATTAACTCTAGCTTATGAGCATTTATACTACTAGCATTGTATTTTTCACTTAATTTTGAATTATTTAGTTCAAATTTGAGATAAGAAGTGAATATTTTTATGATGTTTAAAATAATGATAATAGTAAGAATTTCTTTGGCTTAATATTTAAAATTTAGCTGAACATTTATTTGCATAATTGTTAAAGCACAAAATTTAAACCAACGTAGAGTAGACTCTTGTTTAAGTTTTCATCAGTAAGGCTCTTTGCAAAGCAAGTTCTTAAATGCATAATCTAGTTTTTTTTATGGCTAATTGATCAATACCAGAAAATTGACTCTAGCATCTGCTTAATTTTTTAAAATTTATTTTCTGAAAAGCTCTGTTTAAAATGTTTATATATTACACCTGCTTTTTTTCTAAACCTATTTATATCATAACGCATAATCTATAATCAGCGAAATAAAAGCAATGGAATTGTTTGAAACAAAAATCAATTTTTTTATAGCAACGTTCTCAAAAGAGTAATGGATTGTAGTCAAATTTTGATCATTCATGCTGAAAGCAACTTTTAAAAAATAATGTAAAAAATGTTATTATATTTTCGTCTCATTCTTGTATGCAAGTATATGTTAGTGCAAATTTAATTTAGATAAAACATAATATTTACTGGCAGTTTTGAAATTAAAATGTTATGTAAATTATTTGCAAAGATTGTTGGTTTAGTACATAACACCTTTAAATAATTATCGAACTGAGGAAAATTTCTGAAGTGCCCATAAAAGTTATTTTTACATTATAAAAAAATATTAACAATTTTCATAGTATTAGCTGTTTTCCTGGTTTAACTTTGTGGAAAAATTTCTAGGTTGCGTTTCGGTTTTGTTAAAAGTGTTTTGGTAAATAAAATTTCAGATACTGAAAGAATAAAGCTACATAAATATTTCTACATTTAATTTCTGTAAAAGAAGAAGGGGCAGAAAATGTGTGAATTTGAAGTATGTAATTTGAATATTTTTAAATTTTGTTCTTTATTGTGTCAATTATTAAAAGAAATTACCACTTAAAAATTGAAAAATTTTATTTTAATATTATAAGAAGAAAAAAAATTTTAAGTTTAAATTTCCACTCAGTTCAAATGTAAATATATAACTTTATAATTATGTAGTGGTTTTTATTACATAATTTCAGAATATAAATAATGAACGTTAATTGCGAAATTAAAAATGGCTTAAGTTACAGCTTTTATGAACAAATTTTACAAACTAACAAATTCAATTAAAATTTTGATAAGAAGGCTCATTTCTAAAAAAAAAATTAAGAATATATTTTTAAATTAATGATTTTAAAATTATTAATGATACAAAATTCATCATAAAACCCATTGTAAGAAGAAAAGGAAAAAAATAGCAATAAGAGTTGCAATATAGTATTTCTTAATTAAATTTGAAATATTTAAAAAAATAAGCTGAACATAAGATATACTTTGGAGTAAGAAGGAGGAAAATGGATGGTTAGCAGACTTCGCTAATGTAATTTTATTTAGTATTTCTGTATCGCTAAGAAAATAATGCATGGAAATACATTATAAAACTATTGTTCTATGCTTTACTGCTTCACAGCAATGCAAAAAATTAAGTCATATTATATCGCCCAATTATTCTACTACCATCCATATCTTCCTCTTACTTACACCAAAAAATAAAAAGCGACGCAAGGTAATATCAGAAAATATATATTCTAATATTATATAGCAGTGTTCCCCAACCTTTTTATCACTGCGGACCTGTCAATGTTTAATAATTTTACCGCGGTTCGCTGGGGGGGGGGGCGTTGATTGTTTACATTTTAGATTATTTTAATTTATTAATTTTAATTTAATTGTATTTAAACATGCCATCAAAATAAAATACAGTTGCACCAAAATATAAATATAAAGTGATTTAACATTTTAACTTACTAGAACGTTAAATCTGAGAACCCTGAGCTTGTTTCTTTGCAATGAAACGGTTCCATCTGGGGGTAATCGGAGACAATGATTCATTAAAAAATTTATGCCACTACCTTCGGGGGCCACTTTTTTTAAATAAATAAAATTTTAATGGAACACAGATATTTTTAATTTGGGGTATAACCCTAGGAATTTAAATTCAGTTTCAATGGAATGGGCGGCCCGGTACCATTTGATCCACGGACCAGGGGTTGGGGAACACTCATGGGTGCAAGTCTTCCGTCCCCAGGACGGATTTCCGTCTTTCGAAAATATCCGCGGACGGAAGTAAGACGGAAACAAGACTGACTCGAAGACGGAAATCGGAATTTATTTTTTTCTGTCCTTAAAAATATTTTTTAGGTCTACGTTATTGGTCTACTTTCTTATGTCCTGTTGTTATTTTATCAAAAGACAGATGAATAAGTATTTTTTGTACAGTATTTAAACTTGATGTATTATGGTAAAGCTTTCTTAGATAGTTTGCATATGTCGAGGGGGTATTGTGTATGTTAGGTATTTCAGTCAAAAAATTTTCAGTCTTGGCCTTTTTTCCAACTTGCACCCATGGGAACACTGTTATAGAGCATCAAAACTTATGCAAAATAATATTATGGCGAACGCTAGATAATATTAGTTTGCATAGAATCTAATATTATATAATGCAGAGCATATAATTTTTCAAACAAATTTTCATTAAAAGTGTTAACTATCAGACAAAATTTATATTCACTTCTATACTTTTTTAAATAATGCTCTTTTATTATAATTCATATAGCTTTAAAATCGACATATCTTACCTTATTGTAAAGTAATCAAGTGAGTTAGGATAAATAAACAATTGTTTTTATCTAAAATTCTATTCTTACTTCAGTTTTGATGCACACATAAGTAAAAATATTGATCAAACGCACATGTCATCTTGCCTAGAATTGTGTTTGGACATTTTTATAAAATAAAATGCATTTATTAAAATTAAAGAACTTATAAATACCTCAGAGCTAAATCTTTTCTATGATTCAATAGAAAATGCTCAGTGAATTTAATACTGTTGAAAATGGATTGATTCCAGTAATATCAGTGGGGAGGGAGTTTATTATCTTTTTATTTTTTGGAGGGGATGGGAATAATGCATAAAGTAAAGTTTATGCTTAATTCGGTGTTAAAGACTTACTAAGGTAAAGTGAAATATTTCAGGAAGGCATTCAAGAGATTATTAGAATGCACATGGGCTTCATTGTCAATTGAGTTCAATAATGGAAAACTTATAAAAGTCACTTTCCTTTATTAAAACTAAAGTTATTTTTGAAGGCGAGTTTTTCGGTATAGATCAAATAGAAAATTGACACCAATGCTCATACCATTTATTCATATATATTAACTTTGATATCAATATCTACTCAATGCGTAGGAGTCAAAACTTTTAAAAACGTATACATACGAGTATGCTGAACAATATGCATAAAACATCTATAATCTTTATTGTGTCCATCTCACACAAGATTTTCAATATAGATGTCGCTAAAATCAATAGTGATGCAAATATCATACGAGTCTGGTTAAGAAATACTTTTTTGGCCTACTTTTAATGTATGCCAGTGTCTATTTCGTTCATAATCACTGCTCAACTTTGCTCTCCAATTATTATTAAATTTTTGATAGTTTTTTTACGGACAATTTAATCATTTTTTTTTTTTTTTTTTTTAATCAAGNTTGTATATTTTCGGTTCACTAGAGAACTTTGTTATTAATATCAAGTCATTGGATGGGTGTCAAAATTTTTCAAAACATATACATATGTATTTTTTAGCATATATGCTAAACCTCGGCATAAAGAGGTCCTCGTTAAACGGTGCTACCGTAAAGTGCTCGACCTCGCGCGCAGGTAGTCGGGCTACCGAAGCGGGGGTGCCATCCCCTCCNTTTTTTTTTTTTTTTTTTTTTTTTTTGTATATTTTCGGTTCACTAGAGAACTTTGTTATTAATATCAAGTCATTGGATGGGTGTCAAAATTTTTCAAAACATATACATTCAGACATATACATATATATTTTTTAGCATATATGCTAAACCTCGGCATAAAGAGGTCCTCGTTAAACTGTGCTACCGTAAAGTGCTCGACTTCGCGCGCAGGTAGTTGGGCTGCCGAAGCGGGGGTGCCATCGCCTCCGCAGAGGATCAAAATTGTGAGGGCATGTCTTCGGATCATCCTCCGGGATGTTTCCCAGACCGTCGCCAATAGCCGATTGTGCAGCTCTAGTGCGACGTAAATTAACAACAACGACAACAACTGGTCAATACTTAATGTGAACCTTTGTCTTTTTTAATTATAGGTATTGTGATCCTCCGCTTTCTAATTATTATTATGTACTGCATTTGAGGGGGTCATTTAACAGACACTTTAATGATTTTTTTATATTTTTTCAGTTCACTAGAGAACTCTGATTTTAATATCAAGTGATTGGATGGGTGTCAAAGTTTCTAAAAACATATACATATGCTAAAAAATATTTATTTAACATCTTTAAAAAATTTGTTATTTTGTCCGTGTCATCCTAGATTGTAAGTACAGGTGTCGCTAAAATCGATAATGATGCAAATATGACATGAGT